GATTCATAGAATGTAGGCTGGAAGGGACCTTTGAAGATCATCGGGTCCAGCCCCCTGCACCAGGCAGGAAAGACTACTGGGGTCAAGTGACCCCAGCAAGGTGACTGTCCAGTCTCCTCTCGAAGATCTCCAGGGTAGGCAATTGCACCACCTCTGGTGGAAGCTTATTCCACAGTCTGGATACCCTGGCTGTGAAGAAGTTTTTCCTAATGTTGAGCCTGAAATGATCTTCCAGGAGTTTGTGACCATTGCTCCTGGTTTTCTCCCAAGGGTGACCTGATGAATGCTTGTTCACCGAGCCCTTGATGCCCCTGATGTAGTAGTAAGCTGCAACCAAGTCCCCTCTCCGTCTTCTCTTATTCAGGCTGAGGAGTCCCAGAATCCCTCAGCCTTACCTCGTATGGCTTGCTGTGCAAATCTCTGATCATATGGGTGGCCCTTCTCTGGACTCTCTCGAGCTTTTCCACATACTTGTTGAAGTGCGGTGCCCAGAACTGGATGCAGTACTCCAGCTGTGGTCTCACCAATGCCGAGTAGAGCAGAAGTATCACTTCCTTGTTTTTGCTCATGACAGAGTATTATTTGCCCTGCTGGCTACAAAACACTAAATGGTAAAAAGAAAGTAAATGAGGATTTACTTAATACAAGAAGGAGGAGTCACAAAATGAAACTAGTAGATAGAAAGTTTAAAACTAACAAAAGGAAATTCTGTTTCATGCAGTATGTAATTTAAGTGTGAAGCTCATTACCCCCAGATATTGTGGAAGCTGACAGCTTTAACCAGATTCAAAAGTGGATTTTCTTGGAGGAAAAGTGCATGAGTAGTTAAGGAGCATGGGAGTTAGGGGTACAGCCTCTGAATCAGAACTTCCTAGACCATAAATGCTGAAAGGTGAAAGTGGGAGAGAAATGGTGGGGGAAAAAAACCAAAAAAACAAAACAAACAAACAAAAAAAAAAAACTTTGGTCATATCCTGTTCGTTCTCCCTTTCAGCATTTACTTTCTATCCCAATGGGTGCATCTACACATGCAATTAATGTGGAGCAATAAACTCCAGTGCATATTGTGCTGAAGTGTATTGCTCCTGGGCACTTGGTTTGCATGGGCATCTAGGACCACAGCACATTGAGCTGGGACGGAGCAGCACCAGGTGGTAGGGGGCTCCAGTGGTCAGCCTGCCATCTTGGGGCTGCTCAACCTCAGGTCAATGTGCTGTGGGGGGAGCCTTTGCAAGTGCCAGACAAGGACTATGTATGTGGTGGTAATTTCTTTTTTCCCCCTCCTTTGCTTGGATTGCTGTATAACCACTAGCTTTTGAGGCATGTTTTTCCAAAAGAGTAGCAGCAAGTGGGGTATATTCTGAGTCCTAATATTATATACTCCTGTGAAGTAAATTCACATGGCTATCATTGTGCAAGAAAGATACCCAAGATGAATGAGGCTCATATACTCATCTCAAGAAGATTCCTGAGGGGCATAATTACAACTACTAAAGTTAAAAGTGCTTGCAAAAAGTGCGTTGCTTTAGCAGATTTTGTGTCCTTGTGGTCACATTTGCCCCCCTTTCCTTGTAGCAGGAAATACATTCAAACTACAGTGGAAATGACTAACTGATAGACTGATCATAGTAGAGAAATTGAAATTAACTGGCCCCAAATTTAGTCAAAAGCACAAAAGGAACAATCTGAAAAAAATTGGCATTTTTTCCCTGATTGTCTAATCCCTCTCAGTTATATCCTTAGTAGGTAACATTTTTCAGACAGAAGTTTGATACAGCAGAACTCCGAGTGTGTGTTTTAACCTGGATGTTTCACAACCTGCTTAATTAGCTGTGGTTACTGAAGGATGGACAAGCTGCACAGCTGCAGCTTCTGTTTCAAGGGTGCTGCTTCTCAACTCAGCTGGAGTTCATCAGCAGCCCCACAGCTAAATAGAGAAGCAGCATCCTTTGAAACAAATATTGCAGCAATCAGCTGAAGCACCTCAGTGGTATTACACAGCTGTTGCTGGGGTCACACATGCATACATACATACTCCCTCTCCTCTGACTCTCCCAGTTAGTTCACAAACCCTCATCTTTTTGCAGGGGGCTAAGGAGCCTAACTTAATGAAAAATCCAATTTCTTCTATATTTAAATCAAATTCATACATTACGTGGTCACATTCTGGAGAACTCGTGGAAAAGTAGAAACAGATTTGCATGGTCTAATACCAGAGGCATGCCATTGTTTTTAGGAATAAAACTTTTCCATGGATCTAGGTAAGTGATTGAACTGGTTAGGGGATAAGTGTCAGCAGCATTGATTTCAACAGCAACTGTTACTTTTGAACACCACTGTAACTGTGACCATGAGATGCAGCTGCTGTGAAATGAGATGAAAGCCCAGCAGAGAGATTAACAGCAACCACTGATTCAGCAACTCCCAAAAGAATTTTAGTGATTTGGATCTACCATTCATGATTATGGTCACCTGGAACAGCTGGAGCTGGACCACCTAGGATTTGCTCTGATTCAGAAGCCAGACTACTATGACAGGGAGACTTGGCTAAGACAATGCCAACTATTAAGACAATGCAAACTACTAGGTTTTTCCTGTGTATGGCGAGTCCATATTTATTAGCAATACCCTTCTATAAAAGGCACTTCTGGATGCAGACCAATGAAACCTGAATAAGGGACTAACAAACTTGAGGGCCCAACAGGTTCACAGCCAGTACTGCAAAACTGGCATAACCTTACTACAATTTAAATTAGATAAAGGATTGACATTATTGCAGCCTAACACTTGGTCTAAGTTATCATCCAAGTGAAAAGGACCTTTAGAGGTGGTCCCATAAATAACCCCTGCCTAATGAAAAGATTAAAAGAGGCTTGAGTAAATATTTGTAATTAAACTGAAGCCCTTAAGGACCAGAAAAGGAAGGCTGACACCCCAGGTTCTAGCAGGTAAGGAATTAAGTCCACAAGTACAGATTGATCAAGGTCCTGAAAAGGTATAAAAGGATTCCAAACAACTACCCAAATGGCAAATACAGGTGTTCAAGCTCTTCACATTCTTCTTGATTCATCAGACCCTTTAGATATAACATAACCTCAGTTCATCTCAGCTTCTACCCCAAAAATGTGGAAAACCACAGAATTATATTAAGTTCCTGAAATTACAGGCCATGTTAGATTTGGGAGTAGTGTAAAGATTCTCAGAGCAACATGCATAAGTCTATTGTCATTGCCCTCAAGCCTAACCGTTCAACATGCTTTTGTGTAGCTTTCTGAGATATAAATGGGATTGACTAGCCCGTCAGTAAATACATCAACAATTTAGACCTAGATTACTGACAGAATCTATTGTCACTACAGAACCCAGAAAAACCTGATCTTGATACCTTTCGGGCTCTTTCAGTTTAAAACTATTCCCTTAGGTCTGTATAGCCTGGCATAACTGCATTTTAGGACAACTGTCCAATATGATTTGCCTACAACTGGTCTGGGCAGTTTTCTAGTTCCTAATAGAAACTGACCATATTAACTAGTGAATCAAGAAGTATTTTACATTGTATATAATATAGAAAGAGAGACTGACTTAGGCCCTGTGTTATCAAAGTATAAGTTTTGTTGAAGTGCACCATGGCAGGGGAAATTTCTCTTTTGCCTGGCAAGATACCGTACATAATTTGTATCATGTTTCACCACTGTATTTCTCAAAGGGAAATATAGTAAACTCCAGTTGCTTTATGTGCATCTGATGGACAAAGTATATGAAAGAGCCTTTTTTCACCTTAAAACCTTTTACTTTTTAGTAAAGAAATATCCTACAGGCAAACTGATGCTTCTGATGTAGTCTAGAGGCAATCTTTTCATGGAACATGAATGACAAGGACAATTGCATACTCTAGTCCAGTTGATTTCTGTTCTCTGAAAGTAAAGGTCTACTTTGTTTTGGAGAAAAGATTATATTGTTAACACAGAGAAGACTGAATCTTCAAAATGCAAAGTTTTGTGAAAATTTTAAAACAAGCTAGAAAAATATTAAGCAAAATATTGTTAAGGAGAGTCTACTTAAGTTAGACATAGGTAGAAGTTTTGAAAGGCAGATTACTAGGAATATATTCTACTAATTCTCTTATCTCTAATCAGAGATACCTAGCAGGTCTAGTGACTATCTGCTGGCCTCTCTTATGCTTAGATATCAAAAATCCTAACACTGAATTTCCTTGCATCAGTCCTACTATTAGGGTGTCATTGGAAGGAACTATTTTCTGGTAATTTTTACTTGGTACTGGTAAGTCCCAATTAAAGTCCAATACATTTGGTTGGTCTGTTCTGAGTTGCATTGACACAGCATGTCCAAAATTAAAAACATAAGGTAAAATTTTCAAAAGCACTTATGAGCCTGAAAGTTACTTAAGTGGCAAAATCACTCTGGATAATGGAACTTTAGACTATTTTAGCTGAAATAATTAAAGAAAGAAAACAAGTCTGGCATGATTTATTTAACCAAACAAAATAAAACCAGAAATGCAAATACAGTCTTGCTGATATGTTGATGTTAATAAATTCAGAAAACCCAAAGTGATAGTTGTCAAAGTTACTCTAATTTCACTGTGGACATTTTAATTAATGATCCATGAACAGAGGCAGTTTTTCTATATATTGCATTCAATTATACAATATTTTTCTTACTGACATGTAATATATTGTACCCTTGCAATATCAGAGGTCTGTTTTATGTGCTGTAAGGTGGAGGATGCATTATTGTATACAGAAGCAAAATGTTCATGTGTTCAATGCAGATGCAGTTAATTAGTGCCGACAAAAATGATGTTACTGACTTAATTAAGTGATCAGGCCTGAAGTAAAGGGCAAAGACAGGTTAATTTCCATAGAACCACAGAACTTATTCTTGATTTTATGAAATGCACTCAATTAATTAATTATAGTAGAATGTTCTAAAAAAATAGTAAGCCAGATACTTGAATGCAAATTGTGCCACTACATTACCTTGATGGACTGCTAGCATGACCATAAGGCCATTTACTTCCAATAGAATTGTTCATTGATATCAATAGGCTTGGATCAGGCCTCCATGCGATGCTTCATTTTATGACTGAAAATAAACTGTAAGTCCAAGAAATCAAATTGAGAGAATTTTCAGTGCATTTTGATCAATAGCTATTCATAGTAGAGGGGAAAGTTGGTATGGGTAATTGAGGAACCGAGCCAAATCTTTCTCCAAATCTCAAGTTTTTTGAAGTTTGAACTATTAATTGATATTCCAATTTTTGGCTTCCTATGCTTTAAGAGATCCCATTCCTGCAGTTTATATAAAAGACTCTTAAGTACATAAAGTATTTCATAGGTGGCGAAAAAGGAGCCTTAGAAACTTAGTTTGATCCACAAAAACTACACAATGAAGTTCCCTAAGCACCCAGAGTTTTGTCACATCCCATGCCATGTCTGCCTCTATTTTTGCAGAGTATTTGCCTCATTCATAAACCCACTTAGGCATTATAGACTAGGTGTCCCTAAGCTTAAATAGACTCACAGGCCTCATCCAGTAGGCATACCGGGAGAACCTGTCACATACTAACAGCACTGAGTTCAGCACAGTGCAAAATAGTCATGATTGCTGTAGTTGTTGTTAGAGCATGAATTAATACAACCATTAATCAATGCATATAGAAATCATACAGAAGCCTTTAAACAGCACAAACCAAAGTAGGCCTCAGTAAGAGTATGAACAACAGACCTTGGTGACTAGGAAGTTGGTTTAAGCAGAACTACTATAAAAGGTAGAAGTATTAGCTTTTTGGCACTTTAGAAGGCCAACAGAGGGAAAAACAGATACGGTGGGTAGAAGAAACAAAAACAGATCACAGTAGTCTGATAGGAAGTCATAATGTCTGGTGAAAACTGGATGTGAAAGATCACTGATGTTTAGCAATTAGTGAGAACTAGGATGTGTATGCTGTAAAAAATGTAGTCATTTAGATTTGTATATGAAAGAGGCCTGGGGACCCTGAGTACTTTGCCCTGAGCTAGGGGCTGTGTTTTATGCTGGTGCCATGTTTGTAGATAACCTGGCTAGCAGCTTTCATGAATGTGACATGATGTTAATGCCTAGGCTTTCTTGTGAAAAATTAACTTTAAATAAACCTTTGTTACTAAAAACCAAAGCCTGTGGTCTCTTTATTACAACTAATGCAGTAGTAGTTCTTATCCTGGAGGGTATCCTGATAGCACACACCCACCATCCAAATCAAGGGATGACTAGTGCTAGTTTCTCTTCAAACACTCTCCCACAAATTGTTTATTGGAAATTGTTTCTAAATCCTCCATGTTAAATGTTAACCTTTTAAAGTGTTGTCAGTTCTGATAATTTTCACCCTAAAATATACACCATCTTCCTCCTTTTTATTTCCTGCTTTTCTCTCTTTCTCCTATCCAAGCAAATGCGCATTCTCATGAGCAGCCAAAACTAATATTTAAACTAAATAAACTAAGTCTTTCATCAAACGTTCTCTCTTTCCACTGTATCCAAGTATTGTATCTGGGCACTTGAACTATTTTGGTATTCGCTAGTAACACTGCTAAAGACTAATGACCAGCACTGGAATACTAATTAAACTATGGTTGAACTTGTTATAGAAATATAAACAAACATATATAGGACATACATGGTATGCATGCATTACACTGCATGATCCCCATGCTTAAACTGGTGATGACTGCCCACAAGTTAGTTACGGCACAGATGCCCCATGGTTGTTAGTCTGACACTTCTGAATACTTGGAAAATATTATCCAGTTTAATCCATCATGGAATCTTTTGGATTATATTAATATAATATATGGCTTCCAGAATACATAAAGTAATTACAATCAGGGTGATAATCTGAATAAATTCCGTTTAGAATCTTTTCCATATCTGGCATCTTGAACAGCATTGTATGTACTATACAGTCATGTATTTTACCTCCTACTACATGGAAACAGACATTATTGGAATGAATGGCCCTGGATTGATTTCTAGTGCACTTGTGTGGGTGGAAAGGCAGGTCTTATTATAAAAGCAGAGTATGGAGTCAGAAGATCTGGGTTTTGTTCAAGACTCACCCACGGACTTCCTGCATGACTTTAAGCTTCCTTCACTTAACCTTTCTCTGCCTCATTCCTCATTTATCTAAAGAGGATAACAATAGATACTTAATTCATGTTGGTAGTGTTTTGAAGCTTAATTCACAAACTATTAGAAATGTGCTTTAGGAATTTAGATGGAAATTACTGTTCTATGGGAGTCTACAGAGCTTCTTTATAGTTGATTGTAGTTATAAGGAAGTGGAGAATAGAATCATTTTATTGTGCAGAAAGTGCCACCCTTGGTTTTGTTCTCCTTTGTAAAAAAGACTCTGGTGATAAGAATAGCTTTGGAAATAAGCAATATAGAAAAAAGCAATTCCCCATCTTGAACCTTGAGCCGACTTTCACAGAGCTTCATTTAGTTGCTATCTATTTTGAATTGCACGATAGATTAATAACATGTTCTAAATCTTCAAAGTGACTACCCAGTACTGGATAGGCCATTAGTTATAATCTGACCCTTATTACAGATTGGGTGCTGACAGATGTGAAAAAAAACAAACCCAAAAACAAAAACTGTGCTTCACCAGAAAAGGAAGTGCATTAGTTCGACCCAGTTCCCCAGTGTCTGTATAGATCAGGTGCTTCAGCGGGGCTTTTTGGCCCTTTTATCTAAAGCTGATTCAATTAGCTCTTAGATAAAAGCGCCAAAAAGCCCCACTGAAGCACCTGATCTATACAGACATTGGGTGAACTGGATCAAACTAATGTGATGCCTCTTCTGGGCATATTCTGCACTCAGTAAAGTGCTGGGGATTTTTTTTTTCTCCACATCTGTAATCAGCCATGATGAATTAACTGTGAGCTAAGGATCATTTTGTGCTACTGTATCCATGTTAATCATCCCAGATATAGTTACTATAATTTTCAGCACATACACATTACTGTTTTTGTACCTCTCTTCTCTGTTTGGCCAAATGTTAATTCAGACCAAAGGAGTGGGAGTAAAGGAAAATATCGTCTTCTCCCACATCCTCTGGCAGATTAACAGTAAGTGAAGTAAAAGAAACCCTTTGCTCATGTCTGATATTTTATGTTTTGTCAAGTCCTCACAAACCTTCAGCACTTGGATTCTTGCACATTCTTCTTATTGGAAATAGAGAAAAATGAGCAACTGTTTCCTGCTCTGACTTTTGTGTTGTGAAGAGAATTACAGATGGAAATGCCGCTTTGGGACTGCCATTGTGAGAGCAACAAGATGGAAAGGGGCAAAATTAGGAAAATTCAGACTGAGCAAAGGCCTCTTCTGAATAATTAACTAAGGAATATCAAACATTGATGGGTTTGCTTCTGTTGTGAGTGGAACAATATCTCAGAACCAATCAAGGGAGCGGCTTCTGGAGATCAAATTTCTGCTAGTGTAAAATGTAGTGAATGAGGAGAAGAAAGAAAGTGCAAAACCAGAGAAAGCCTAGAGATCTGTTTAAGAGACTGAATATATGCCATAACATGATCTTAGAGAAAACATGAATGAGGCTCATGCTAGCACTCCAAGAATGGAGAACATTAGTACCTGGCATAGAATGGAGAGAATACAGGAAGGGAATATAATTAACCATAGTTAAAATAAATTAAATGCAACTATATCCCTTCCATCAATCAGTTGGAAATCAGGAATAGATTCAGTCTTCAATGAAGAAAAAACTTTTAAAACCATTGCCTTGTAGGCCAAGTTAAGTGCTTTGACCAGAAATAACATTCACACATAGGCTGCATAATATAGCAAGATTGGGCATCAGGGGCAGCTGTGATATCCACTAGTGGCCTTGCAGCTCCTGCTGCAATTTGGCTCCCTGGGACCCCTTCCTTTTCCTTTACCTGTCGTGACTTGATGTAATGAGTTGATTAGTGAAAGGGGAGGCTGCCTTTGGGTCCCAGATCAAGCTGTTGTCTGCCTTTCAGCTGGCAGGTCCCTCTCAGACCCCACTGGTCCCAACCCTGCACCTCACATGCTAAGTGGGCATTCTTGGCCTGTCTGTGTCCCCAGGACACCTGTCATAGTAAGGGCTATTTGTGGTCTCCAGCTTCCCCTGTAGCCACATCCATGCCTCAAAGATGTTATGGGTCATCACTTAGGCCCTCACAGCAACATCAGGCCACCTCAGGCCTCCACTCCATTGTTGGGACCCCTGCCTTCCCAGCTTTTATCCCTCTACTTTAGCTGGGCCCTTTAACTCAGGCCCATTGTGCCAAACCTGGCTTCTGGGCTCCAGCCCCCCCCGTCTTGCCTTCTTGGACACTGGGGTCCCTGGGCCTATCTCTGTCATGCTCAGGTACTGGGCCCACTGGTCCTGACTCCACCCTGCTTGGTCACTGCTGGGACTGTCTCTACCCATGATAGTCCCGACCCAGTCTTTTAGTGTAAACTGCAACAAAAGAGTAAACCCACTGGCTATAATACCAATTGTCGCCATACTGAGTCCAAACATAAATGCCATCTCACTGGTTATATGAAAAAAAAAAAAAAATCTCCCTTATACAGTGTCATACTTCTCTGCCAACTTTAAGGCACTTTACTGGCAGTCCCAGGGAAGTTCATCTGTCAGCCAGGCACTCCTCTGTGGCTTTCCTGGGCAGGACCTCTTCTCTCTGCCATCTACAGGGCCTGACTGACTTCCTGGGATCAAACAGTGGTTTTATATACTCCCTAAGACCTGCCCCTTCTTGTCAGGTGACCCCCCAGCCACCCACAGGGTGTTTCATTCTGGGACCAATGATCAGACTGCCTTCAGGGAAGCTTAGCGCTGCTACCCTTGCTGCCTTAGCAGTGTACCTACTGCTTAAGCTGGGCTCAGCCCATGGGTGACTGGTGCCTCCTGGCTTAGGAAAAAACTCTTACCAGGAGGGTAGTAAAGCACTGAGAAACGTTACCCAGAGAGGCCGTAGAATCTCCATCTCTGTCCTTGGAGGTTTTTAAGGCCTAGGTAGGCAAAGCCT